GCCAGTATTCCTTGTTACCATCACTGTGGATATGTCAAGGTGTTTGGGGTTTTTATGAAAATGTTCTTTCTTGTTTGTTAAAGATACAAGAAATCAAATCACTACTTTCTCTATAAGAGAGAGAGAGGAAAAGATAAACATAAATATTCTAATAGCATCACTTAAAGTGTTTCTACTACAAGAAGAAAAAAAAATAACATTTATTTTATAGTTGCTTTATAAAATAAGAAAAGGTGTATAGTGCAGAATTGACAGCCACTGTCAGAATGATCTGCAAACTTATCAGTGAAGGCAAGTCTGTCTACATATACTTACTGCAAGCAAAAACGCATCTCAAACTGTAAATCAGGTTCAGTTAAGCTCACTGCAAGCACCTACGTACTGACCCTGAAATCGCAACTTTAACAGTTTGTGAAAGCGCGTATCTCGGGTTTTACTGATAATGAAACGGTAAAAATGCGTTTTTTATTATATTCCAACAAACCGGTTTTTACATTTTCACTGCACAAAAAACGGGTGGTTCATAAAGAAACCGACAAAAACGCGTTTCAGAATACGCGGTTTTTCCGTTTTCCATTATCGAACGCGTGTTTCACTTTTTTTATTAGGGCGCGTTTTCGCGAGCTAAGAACGAAAAACGCGATTTTTTTTGTTTTTTTGATGTAAAACGCCCGAAACCCCAACTTTTTCGACTGCTCCAAACACGCAGTATATAGGATACTACGAAGATTTCGTTTGTTGACCGAAAGAAACGAGAAAAACGCGTTTTTCCAACGCAATTTTTGTTTTTAATTAGTCGATTTTTTTCCATGTAGCTGAAATCGAAAATCCGATCTCAGATTCCGAATCAGCATCGAATTTTAGGTCCGGATGGTACTGCAGTCACCCTTTTACTGTATGTATATCTGACTATGGATTTCGGAAATTGTTTTGATGCCACCCAAAAATAGAAATAACAAAAACGAAAAAACCGTATGTTTTTCTTTGATACACGACTGTTACTTTTTTACTTGGGGCACGTTGTTTTTTTTTTGATATCTCCTACATGTACTTAAAAAACGCGGGCTAAAAAATGAAACAAGAAAAAAGGCGCGACGACGCGAAAGAGATCCCGTTTTTTTCTTAGCACGGAAAGCTTTCGTTTTTTTTGGCTTTTGACTCCAAATAGCGTGACAAGGAATAATCCTTTGTATGTGACACAGGCGAAAGAAAGAGAGCTACGTGTCAACTTCATTAGTCATAGATTACGGAAGAAGTGATGACTGGTTTCGTACTTCGTCTGTTTAGCTGTTACTCCGGAAACTGTTCATTGTTTTTAGCTTAGATGTAGAAATGGGTTGTCCACATGGAAAATATTCTGTGGCGAAAGCTTCTGCTTCGTTTACTAGCATCACTCAGTCTGTATCATTATCAACAGCCACTCAGCCTACTTCAAAAACTATCGCATTTCTAACAAAATCTGCTATTGCACGAACGGATCGAGCTGTGATACCATGTGAGAATGCTGATGCTACTCAACCAGCTTCCTCAAGTGCAACAACCAAGAATGCTCACAGATCCGAAAGAGAAGACATTCAAAATATAGTAGAAATGCATACTTCGAATAATAGCCGAAGAGAATCTACAGTATTATTGCATGACCCCTCGTCCGAGTTGTTACCCTCGGATGCCGAAAACACACCAACAAGGGCAGCAGATGAACGTTTACCTCTGTTATCTCGCCGAATTAACCTTGAATCTCACCAACTTATTTGGTGTGATCTAAATACTCCACCAGTCACCATCGATATACTCAGAGAAATTATTGACTATACAAAGTTATTCGATAACATCGAAGAAGCTCGTCAGTATATTGATCAACCAGCAGCTAATATTAGTACATTTCTAGTCTGCTCAGGTGAACTATGCGAAACACTCGTACCCGAAATTCATGAGCGAGAGAGTATTCGATCCATTCACTGTTACTGTCAGAGTAAAGAACATCTGCAACAATGGTCTTCCAACTATACAAAGGTAAGCTTATCAATAATATAATTGACTTTTTGAAAAAAGAGCTTTCGCCAGACTCTTTGCAGATTTGGAAATCAACCGAAAAACTGATCGGACAGTTTGCCTTGGTTTTACGGCGTATTTCCAGCATTGCAACACGACTTTTTCAAAACAAAAATTAGGCAAAGAAAAGGAAAAAGACAATCCGCAAGCAAAAAATCGATCTGCTTACCTCTCGCTTACAAAACTATTATCTGTTTCAAAATATAGTGAGCACAGTTGTTTTTTGAATAACTCCGGAGCGGAAACAGCTAGAGACCTGCGGTTTTCACCATTGTGTAGCCAAGACCTGCAGACATCCTTTTGTAAGAAAAAACGTATTTCAAAATTTTCTATAAGTCCGATTGTTTTGCATGTGTAGGTAGTCCAGATGTTAGTCTACATGATTATGTAAGTCTCAGCTCTCCAGCTATCGTCGTTTGGACAGGGCTTGCTTTCGCCGAGTACGTGTCTATCTCTGAGTAGACATCTCTGGGAATCTGGAAATGCCATGGAATATAGGTAATCGACTACGCTGAGCATAGTAGCAACATTTGTTCTTATGTAGGACTGAAAATAACTTCACCAGAGGCATATTTATGAAAAACCCGTTTTTCGCGTTTTACTAGCAAAAATTAAAATCCTTATATCTCGCTCAAATCTCACGTTGAATCAAGGAAATTTTCAGGAAACGCTCAGCACAGATGATACATGAAAAATGCTTGAGAAATTCCAAATTGTCCATATATAAATTCCTGGAGCAATTTCTACATTTTTGAAATTATGAATTTCTATATCGAAATTCCTCATTGAATTTCTAGCGTTTTGATAATCATTTCTCAAAATTCGACGAGGAATTTCTACATCTTTGGAATTCCCAAAGAAGAATTTATGGAACACTATAAAACAAGGAAAAAAACCAGTCGTTATATATGTTCTATTCCTGCAGAATAAAAGGGTGAACGCTTCAAGGAAGTAGAAATTCGTCGAGAAATTTCTACTTATTTGAAATTGCTGGCCGAATTTCAACATATTAGGAATTCAAATAGCTAGAAAATCTATTCGACTTTTAAAAACAGAAATTCGACAATTTCTATCTATGTTGAAATTATTTGATG